CAAATTACTCACAACCATTGGATCATATGAGAATCCCAAGATTTGAGAATCTCAAGACATATCCAATGATTGTGAGTGATTTGGAATAGGGGGACAAGGATATTTAGGGACAGGGGATCCTTGGCCTTTTGTTTTGTTTTATCTATAGGAGGGAGCTTGGTGCTCTTGTTGTACTAGAGTTAGATTTAGCCGGCTATAAAAATAATTTTTTTGTATTTTGCATTTTTTTCATTTATACAAAAATAAATAAATAAATAAATAACTTTATTAAAATAAAAAAAAGATATATACAAAGAAATTGGCTAAAATAACCCAACCACAACTCATATTAAATAGAGAATATGAATATCCATCCGTCATTTAAAATATGTGGATCATATTCATAAGTTAATTTACACAATTCGCTTGTTTTTCAAGCTAAAATCTCTGAATAATTTTTTTTGTATTTCTATTTTTTTTTATATACTTAAAGAATTATGTTATGATTGTATTTTAAAGAAAAAAAAAATTTTGAGGACCTAATGTGCGGCTCTCTTCCGAATGTTATATTTCTTAAACTTTTTAAATATAATTATAGAAGTCTTTGAAGTTTGGTATGTATAATCATATAGATTATGATTCCAATTAGAATAAGGTAATTCTAGGAATAATAATCACAAAATTTAAGGAAGCAATACTAATAAATTTTGGTAATGATTGAGAGGATTTAAAAATTACCTTAATTTATATAAATTATATTTTGAGCTAATCATAGAATGATGGCTAGCGCTGGGTAATTCTGGTGTCTCTTTGCGAAAATTTCGCTTTATATTTTGATTAAATTTCGGATCCGTCTGTGGCGTATGGTTGAACTTCGTTGGTGTTTTAGTGGTGGGTTTCTTCCTTTGGATTGGATTAAATCAGGCTAACAATTAATTATCCCAGGACCTGGGTTCATAGATATAGTGATAACACTTGAGAGCTCTCTTTTTTTTTTTTTTTTATCCTTTTTTTTTTTTACGTTTAAAAAAAGAGAAAAGGACATGGCTAATCATATAATTAAATTCTATTTGTATAGTCTATTTTCAAAACGGGTGCAACTTCTCTGCAGTTCATCAAATATAATGTATCTTGTAGTTTGCCTACCGTGGATCTATCTTCATAATCTGAATTATTTATCTTACCAAGCCTGTTGAGTAGATAATTTATACAAAAAATTAAGTTAATCGAATATTGCTTGCCACATGATTGGAACAAAAAAAATTTATGGACTGCATCATTTCAAGAATTAATAGTTTATTTATTTATTTATTTTTAAAATGTGATTTGATCGGGTGGATATTGGTATCTGATTAACTTGATTTTTGGTATAGATGATCTACCCGAAGGGTCTTACAAATTGAATGATTTGAATTATCGAAATGAGCCCACAATAGACAAATTTCACCGTGCAGCCTGTACCCTTTCAAAATAATTTTTGTTGTTCACTTTATTTATTAACTAGTGTTAAGCCCATGCTATGCACGGCTAATGTATATACATTTTTGACATATTAATTTAATCTTAATAAAATAAAATAAAATAAAAATCACTGTGTAGCGCATAATAAACACAAAAGATTAAAAATTATGTGAAACATTGACAATGTAATGATAAATTGTAAATCAATTAAACAAATTAAATTATTTCAAAATTAAATGCAAATCAATCCAAATAATAATGCAATTAAATATACACTAATTTTTCATCCATTTAAATCAAAAGTAATAATAAAAATTGTTTGATGATGAAATATCATTACATTCATGTCATACATTCAAAGTTTTTTGCAATAGTTGCCAAATATGAAAGGCTACTAAACAGAAGGGCAAAAAAAATAAATTAAAAATAAGTTAAATTATGAGTAAGAAATTAACAAAGCATAAACAATTTATATTAATAGTTCCTACATTTTACCCCTTATATCATTTTGCTCTCTACACTTTCAATTTAATTTGAAGTTTTGTGACTCTTAATCAATTACTCCTTCCACTATTTCCAAATTTATATAGACATAAAGTTACAAAATTTCACGCCTCTTCCATTTTATAATTTTTTTTCCAATAAAAAAAAATGTACTCCATTGATTGGTCTTCCCTTAAAAAATTACTTAAACTAAGAAAAAATATATACATACATACTTTGATTTTCAAATAGCCACATGATCGGTAAAAAATTATAAGTAATTTCTCTTATATTGATAGTAAAACTCTTTTCGATTCCTCTTACACCGTAAAAAAAATTCCTTACGATTCCCCTTACGTCATTATTATAAGGATGTCAAACCCAGGATTATCATCACTTTTGTTTTGAGTAAGGATTCCTTGTCCCCCAAATATTCATGTCCCCCTGTCCTAAATTACTCACAACCATTGGATCATATGAGAATCCCAAGATTTGAGAATCTCGAGACATCGAATGATTGTGAGTGATTTGGGACAGGGGGACAGGGATATTTAGGGACAGGGAATCCTTGGCCTTTTGTTTTGTTTTATCTATAGGAAGGAGCTTGGTGCTCTTGTTGTAATAGAGCTAGATTTAGCCGGCTATAAAAATAATTTTTTTGTATTTTGCATTTTTTTCATTTATACAAAAATAAATAAATAAAAAACTTTATTAAAATAAAAAAAGATATATACAAAGAAATTGGCTAAAATAACCCAACAACAACTCATATTAAACAGAGAATATGAATATCCATCCGTCATTTAAAATATGTGGATTATGTTCATAAGTTAATTTGCACAATTCGCTTGCTTTTCAAGCTAAAATCTCTGAATAATTTTTTTTTGTATTTCTATTTTTTTTTTCTATATACTTAAAGAATAATGTTTGATTGTATTTTAAAGAAAAAAAAAAAAAAACAAAAATTGAGGACCTAATGTGCGGCTCTCTTCCCAATGTTATATTTCTTAAACTTTTTAAATATAATTATAGAAGTCTTTGAAGTTTGGTATGTATAATCGTATAGATTATGATTCCAATTAGAATAAGGTAATTTTAGGAATAATAATCACAAAATTTAAGGAAACAATACTAATAAATTTTGGTAATGATTGAGAGGATTTAAAAATTACCTTAATTTATATAAATTATATTTTGAGCTAATCATAGAATGACCCGTGTATTTTAAGTGTTATAAAATTCAAAAAAGTAGAGAAAATTAGAGTGAGACTTCCAACCTCAAAGAAGCTACAACATTTTTACTTATATTACATAATAATATAATCAGATCATCTACCAATACTCTATTAATTTAATTATTTACACGAATGATTTGTTCGATAAATTTTACAAAATAAATTATTTATATACAGAGATAACATGGATTGCGTTGTGATAGAATAGCAGGAGTATTGTGCCCCAGTTTTTTTAATCATTTTTTTGTACATGCATTAAAAAATTATTAAAATTATATGATATTATCTCTGTAATACTTTTGGTAAATGAAAAATTAAAGGAAAATGCTATGATACACACTCTTAAAAAACATGCACCTTATAACAAAAAAAGGTAATATAATTTTATATTTTCTAAGTCATAACATAAAAAAATGCCATAACTAAATACAACATGAGCCATAATTACAAAATTCATGAGTCATAACTAAAATAATATCACAACTAAAGAAAAAAATTAGTCATTACTAAAGAAGAAAATGACATAATTAAAGGTGTATACGATACACTTTTTTTAAGGGTGTATATGTTAGAATTTTCCAAAATTAAAACAGACATTGACTGAAAGAAAAAAAATATTGTCGGTAAATATTTATCATATAATATTATGAAATTATTGAATAATTATCAACATAAAATAGGTCATTTTTGTTTATTTATTTAGGTTAATTATAAATAAACTCTCTGAGATTTATTTAAAATATAAATTGTCTACTGTAGTTTAGAAATTATAAATGCTCCTTGTAAGAATTGTTTATTTAATAAAATTAATTAAAAAAAATAAAATTTCTAAATGTTCTACCATATAATAATAAAATTAGTTGACTTATTTATTGAAATATTTTGTTGACATCAATAATAGCTGTAACTAGATGATTTATTGGTAAAATGATCATTTCTTATGAAATAAAAAACTTCAAGGACATGATATAATTTTTAAAATCACATGAAATAATTTATATTTTAAATAAATCTTAGAAGCGTATTTATAATTTATCTATTTATTTAACAACCTAAAAAATTAACTCAACATGTTTTGTCTATAACTTTTTTTTGTGTACATCATTAACACATAAGCCATCTCATGATATCAGAAAGGATTTGGGTTTTTTTTTTAAGTTATTATTTCAATTTGAGAGAGCGTTTGAATTTAATAGACCTATTTTAGAATCGATTTTGATGATCCAAATCATTCACTTTTTAAAATTCTTTAATGAAAACATTTATATAAAAAATTAAGATAATTAAAGATCGATAGCTATATATTAGAATCATATTTGTTTCAAAAAAAATAAATGACAAATATAATTTTAAAAATAATTTATCTATTTTTATAATATAAATTTAATTCAAACATATAATAATTAATATCTAATCATCTTAATTTTTTATATAAATATTTTTTTAAATAAATCTTAAAATAAGAACCATTCAAATTATGAAAATTAGAATACACTTCGCGGATCACTCCTCTCTCTGTATTGTTCTGTATTGTACCACTTTATAGTTTCGTTGCCTTGTATTAGTGACACCACTACCAGTCTACCCCCTTTACCTGATTCTGCCTCTGTTTGGGAAGGAAAAGCCCAGGCTTTTTTGGCTAAAATAGCCATAAAAAACAAAATAGGCTATTTTAGCCACAAAAAACAAAACATCAAATCCAACCCATAATCATTATAATCCTCTCTCACAAAAAAAGTCAAAAAAGCCAAAAAGTCAAAAAGCCCTTTCCAAACCAGGCTAAAATAGCCAAAAAACTAAAAAGCCAAAAAGCCAACCCACTTCCCAAACGGAGGCTCTCTTACAAAGAACACAAGTTTTTGCCTTTCCACACACAGTCTCTCTCTCTGATTCTCTTTCAAAACACACAAGTTTTTGCCCTTCCACACAGTCTCTCCTCTGATTCTCTTTTCCTCTCTCTCTCAAACATGACCGAGTCCCACAATTCTACTTCCAAGTGTTTTTCCGGCATCCTCCGCCGCATCCTTTGCACCGGCAGCCTCCCAACCCACCCATCCGATCTCATCACCGACCCCACCACCACCATCCCAACCACCACCTTCGAAAACCCAAAAAATGATTTCAAAACCCAAGTCAATACCCCAGGAGTAGTTGCAAGGCTTATGGGTCTAGACTCACTCCCAAACCTCAACTTGGTTCCAAAAGACTCCTCCATTCTCCGTAGCAGATCAGTCAATTACGTCGATTACTTCCCAGATTTTGATCCCACTCGTTCCCACCATCGCCGGGTCAGAACATCAATATCGTTTCGCGAAGTTCCAACCTTTCTTCAGCAACAACAACAACCAAAAAAGCATAATCTTGATTTTTTTGTTTTGTGCCTCGAGAAAGTAGGTGGAAATGGAGGGAACAAAATGGGTTTGAGTTCTGACATGGCTTTGAAAGATTTGAAGCAGAAAGAGATGAAAACCGAGAGAAACACAAAGAATTTAAGCGAGACAAAGTTTGAAAACAAGAGAAAGGTTTTTCGGAGAAAGGAAGATCAGCCAAACAGGCTGTGTGGAAATTGTTCTTCGAAGGTTGACAATGTTAATTTGGATCGTAAGAATAAGGGTGTTGTTGTTCAGAGACAACCTCGTGAAAGTTTGATAGCGAAAAAAAGTGGAGTTAAGAATGTGAATCAGAAGAAAACAGGGAGTGAATTGAAGATTGGGAACAAGAAAAAGAGTCGAAACAACATAGTTAAGAAAGTACAACAATCCGTGTGTGTTTCGGAGAATTTGAGTCTGGTTTCGGTTCTTGATCTTCATCATGAGTCTACGTCAGGTTAGTTTTTGGAATGACTATGTACTTTTTTTATATTCTGTTTTGTAATTTCTGTGTTTTTATTCGTTTCGTTTTTGTTTTTTATGTTTTCGAAAATAGAAACTGTATCATCGTCATCCAAGCTTATAGTCTTATTTTGTATGTTTGTAACAGGACACACAAAGGTAACAATTTCAAATTCAAGATCATCAAATGTTGCTGACAATGACAACAACAACCCTTCTTCAAATTACACTCGAAACTTCATAGCAGATGAACATCATGTGATAAAAGCAAAGAAGAACAGAGATGACAAGGCAAAGAAGACTAGTGAGACCCAGTATTATGATGGAATGTTGACTGAGATTCTTAGATTGACAGAGAAAGGCATAGAAGAGACACGTTGGGTTAATGAGAAAGTCATTGAATTTGAAGATGTTGAAGAGATTTGTACTGTGTTTGGGCAACAAATTCTTGACTTACTGTTTCACCAGGTTGTAGATGAACTAGTCCTATGTAATATGAACAGATTTGCATTGTAATTCTTGTTGAAACTTTGTGAAAATTTTGAAAAAAATGTGCAAGTTTCATTTTACAGGACTTGGTAAGATGATGATGTGTTTTGTTTTTCATATTTTCATAAACCACGCTAGCGTTGTGCAAAATAATGTTAAATTGCTAAAATCGCCCAATACACAGTGATTCATTCGCTAATTGCGGATTAAATTTTGAAACTTATACTTTGCCTTTGAAATCGTTTCACTTTGTTATAGTTAATTCATGTATATATATATATATATATATATTTAATTTCTAATGAAGTATTAAAGTAAAAATGAATGTGAGATATATTTAAGATGTGAAATTTGTTGTAAACTAGTAGTTATATATAATTTTCAAAATCAGATGAGATAATTAGTATTTTAAACTTTAGTAGGCGTATTTGTAATTTACCTAAAATATTATGCAAATTAATATTTTATATTATGTAAATACTTTATAATTGTTTAAGAAAATTCTTCAATCAATTAACAAATTAAAATTATCTCAAACTGTGATTTGATTATTTATCAATTTGTCATTTACGATTTAATTTATAATTTTGTTTTCAAATCGTCCGAATAACACTATGCACACCCTAATCAAAATAATGAAAAGTAAGGTATTGTTTTGGGAAACTGGAAACAAAAATTTGTTGGTTTGATGTATTGATTTTGCTTTTAAAAAAAAAGTGGAATTAATTTGGAACTTTTTGGAAATAAAGATAGGTATTTTCACTTATTTTTAAAATAAGTTGTCATTCTCTTCTTGCTTCAATCCCACCAGCTCTGCCACCACTTATCATCTGCTGCGATCATCAGCCAACCTCCGAAAGATTTTTACTACACAGACACGTTATTTATGGTTTGTTTGATATGAGAGTGTTTTAGTCATAAATAAATAAATAAAATAAAAAAGTTAAAAAATCAAAAAATCATATAAAGGAGTCAAAATTCCTATCTATTTTTTTACTTCTTGCATGTTTTTTTTGATAAAAAATGAAAAATTCATTTATAAAAATTTTAATTTTTTTACCTTATATATTTTAATAAAAAATAATTTAAAAACTACTTCTTTCGTCCCAAAATATTAGTCATTTATTTTATTTTTCATTATTCTAAAATATTAATTCCTTTTTAAAAATTAAGAATTAAAATAATATAAATTTCTTATTTTTCTTTCTTTTAAATTCCTTAACAATATAAAAAGTAAAATTATAATAATTAATATTTTCTAAAAAATTACTATAAAGGAATAATTTTAAAATATAATAATTACACTATGAAAAAAAATAATTCTTTTAAAAAAATATTATTATTTGGAGACTGAAAGAATAAAAAATTCACAATAATGTGAACTAAGATTGTGGTGTGAATGGGCTTACCGACTTCGTGCAGTAGTTTTTTGAGGACCTAGGAACTACCCCTTAACAATAATGTAGGCCGTGGACTGACTACCCTCATCACACGTTGGTCTAAATCTAAAGCCTGTGCCTTGTGCCTGTGACTTTTGGGTAGCATTCATTTTAACTGTCTCCTTTTCGTACAACATGTTTTCGCACCCCAAACGTGCTTCTTGTATGTACCTGTCGCCTATCCCTTGAAGCTTTTCTATAACACGGAAGCCTCCTGCAACCCATTTGAATTATTGCAGAATATTTCTAAAATTAAACAATTTAACACATTATTTAAAAAAAGAAAAAGAAAAAAAAGAAATGCACAAATTATGGATCAAGTTTGATAGAGTATGAGTCCATTTGAATAATCCCTATGTTATGGATCAAGTTTACTGATTAGATATTGGTATAAATAGAAGGAGTTTTCTTAAGTGTGCAAGTGCACACCATGTGCCACTTACACAAAAAATGTAAGTATAAGGTGTAAGTATAAGTATAAGGTGTAAGTGTAAGGTGTAAGTGTAAGGTGTAAGGTGTAAGTGGGTTGCACATGGTGTGCAACCTCAAAAAAGGTGTAAGTGTAAGGTTTAATTTTTTACAAAAGGTGTAAGTGTAAGATGTAAGTGTAACGTATAAGGTGTAAGGTGTAAGTTGCACACCATAACCAAACCCTAAATAGAATTAGGATTCAAATTCATCATTATGAGATTTAGATTCTTATTAATATTTTAATCAGATCGCATTAGATTAATTATGTTAGATTCAACTCGAATGTAATCTACTAAAAATAGTAATCTATTTGTTTTTTATTAGAAGAATTAAAAATAAATAAATCAAGAACCCATCCAACATTTTCACTAACAAAAAAATAATTATTTTGCCATTTATTAAACGAATGATTTTTTTCTTAACAATGATTTTATCCTTAAAAAAAAAAAAGAAAAAAAAGCCTAATTGGTTCAATTTATTGAATAAAGTCTTCATTTGCGGCTTCTAGCCTGCTGCAATTCATTGAATGAAGTCTTCACTTGCGGCTTCTGACCTGATTTTATCCTTCACTAACAAATAAACTAACTTGGTTCAACTCGTGGCATCCTGGCAAGATCTCGGGCTTAAGTCTTGAGGCACTAACATATATGGTTGATAGGATAAATCTTTTGAACTTGGACGAATTAGTGTTAGAAGTGTGGGTTCGAAACCCCGTCTATGTACTAGTTTGTGACTTACCACTATATGGTTGAGTGATCCTACTGTGTGGTAACTACCTAATGATAACTTCTGGAGCCTCGGCTTCTTAGAGTCTAACTCCAAAAGATACCCCTATGTGGTTAGGCCTTTTTTTTTTTAAAAAAACTAATTTGGTTCAATTTATTGATACAGGTACAATATACTCTTCTTATACTTTATTTCTTTATTTGGTTAAGTGGTCTGGTTATGTAACAACTATTTAAGGGTGACTTTTGGGGTCTCGACTTCTTATAGGGTCTATCTTAAAAAATTATCTCTCTATGATTAAGCTTACATTAGTAAAAATTATTCTTTTTGTTAATAAAAATTAAAAAAAATAGAACTCAATTATTTTGGAGTGGTAATGATAATTTGGAGATTTTTTTTAAAAATCCTGAACAAACTTTTTGAAACAAAGTTTTTGAACCTTACGGCCTATGGCCTAAACGTTTTTACTAGTGATAGAAGTCAAATTTGAGATTTTGGAAAGAGTAAACTCTGAGATTTTGGGAAAAAATTGACTACAATGTATAAAAAAATCACTAAAATAATAAAAAAGTTTAAAACTATTTTTGAAAATTCAAAATCAAACAAAATGTAATTTTTTTAGAGAAATAAGTTAAATAATTTTAAAAAAATTAATAAAGCTTTTGAGGAGGTCAGTGGTGGTGGGGAAGCATTAAGGGTTTGTTTGGGTCACCTAGTAAGAAAAGGACCACTCACTTAATTCAAAAAATCAGTGGGTCAGATAAATGGACTCCTCACTCACACAAAAAAAAGCCAACAACTGTTTGGTTTCAATTTTTAGAGTTTATTTTTTAAAAAGTTTTAATTTTTAATTTTTCATATTTTTTTTATTTTTATTAATTTTTTTAAGGTTTTAAGTAATTTTTTTTAATTTTTAGACAAACTTAACATAAATACACTTAAAAAAATATAATATTTGTGATATTTTTTTAAAAAATTCACTTAATGTAAAATACAAAAAAAAGAAGATGGTCAAGTGGTACGGTGTAAAACAAGATTGGATAAATAATAAATATACTTATTAGATTTATTTAAAATATAAATTGATATTTGTAGTTTTGAATATTATAAATATTTCTTTGTTAGAATTTTTATTTAACGGAATTAATAAAAAAATAAAATTTACAACTATTCTTCTATACAAGAATAAAATTATCTAAATTATGAATTAAAATATATTTCTGACATTATTAAAAATTATTAATTGAATTGCTGATTTATTAATAAAAGAAATAATTTGTTATGCGATTGAAAACTTGAAGGGGTGTGATATGATTTCCAAAACTACATATGATAATCTGTATTTTAAATAAACCTCAGGGTTGTGTGTAATTTACCAAACAAGATTTGGATAAATTATACTCACTTTTTTTTAGTACATATTTGAAAAAATTATAGTTATATTTTTAACATAATTATATTAAATTTTCTTTTAGTAAAAATAAAATTAAAATAATTTTTTTTACTTTTTTGATCAAAAAATCAAAATGATTGAAATTAATACATATGGTGGGTAAATACTAAAATAAAAAATAATATAAATATACATTTTAATAGAAAATAGATGACAATATTATTTTTTTATACGTGAATTAAAATTTTAACATAAATCAGCTTAATTATATCAAAACTGTTATAAAAAAATAATTTTAATTTATTCAAAGTTTTTTGATTGGTGGAAAACAAGGCAATTCATTACTTTGGCTTTGTTTTGTGTTATGTGTATATATATATATATCTATTTTTTTTTTGAAAAATTATATAAAATTATTTAGTATAATTTCTATTAGGGTAAATTACACTGACACTAATTGAAATTTGTCTTTAATACAAATACTCCCCTCATGTTCTAGAAATTACATCTCTTCCTTAAGGTTTAAACTTCTATTACAATTTAATCATTCTGTTAGTCAACTAATGAAAAAAATTAATATAAAAAATTAATTTTTTTAAATGCTTATTTTACTCTTATTAAACAATTTTTTTAAAAAAAATTTACTTGATGAGTAAAAAAAATCTGTAGGGAATTAGGAGTACAAAAATTTATTCAATACATATATTATTATACTATTAAACATTTAGGTAATGCTATAGTACACAAACTTTTGTGAAGTTAATTATCACAAATATTATAATTAGATCATTTTCAATCATAACTAAAAAAAAATTTGTTATAACCAGACATCACATAAAATATAACTAAATACCTCTTGGATTATAATCCAAATAATATTATAATCAATAGTTATAACTGATACCATAATTTGTCATAACCAAAGACCATGACTGGGGCATATAAAATTTTCCTAAACAATAAATTTTTTGTCAATTTTATATATGCAAACAAGGGTAAAATAGGTATTTTAAAAAAATAATTTTTTATATTAGTTTTTTATGTTAGTTGACTTAACAATTGACTCACAAAA